TCGGATCCTATATAGGAATGGCCGGTGCACTCACTGGCTGAGCGCAGTGCGGGTGACACCAAGCTAAGGGTTGCAATCCCCTTACCGGTCACGAAAAAGACAAAAAAAAAAAAAGAATTTTTTTTTGTATATATTTAAGGTATAAAATATGATGTTTTGATGTACACATACATAATGAAATGATTACTACAGTCAAGCCAATTATAATATCCATTATTCATGTAGTTACCTTTTTTGCGTGTAACTAAAAAGATAGCACCTAAAATCTACCCTATTAGCAAATTTCTAGTATATAATACAATAATATTAACTACAGTCCTCATGCTGTTCATTAGATCTCTAGATGTATTCATCCTACATAACTGGAGCTTAGTACCCTTTGACCTACATTTCCCCATTCCTCTTCCCCACCCCCACTTCTGATAACCATCTTTTTATTCCCTTTTTCTATGTATTTGACTTTTTTTTTTAAGATTCTAAATATAAGAGAGATCATACAGTATTTTTTTGCGTCTGTCTTATTTCACTTAGCATAATGTCCTCTAGATTCACCCATGTTCTCANCAGTGCTTTAAAAATGAATTTTATAAAATAAATTAATCCTGAAGGTTGTAGATAGTTTTTTTCTTTTAAGGGTTTCATTATCATTGTTTTCTTTCTTTTCAGCAGACATTTTGGAGATCAAAGATGGGTAGAAAAGATGCTTCCACTACAAAACTTCCTGTTGATCAGTATAGAAAGCAAATTGGTAAGCAATGAATTCTCTTTGATACACTCCTGTGAATTAAGATAAAGAGAAAAGCAATTATGCATGATATAATGAAAATATTTTTTCTCTAATACATATCATGCATAGGAATATATGAATAAAGAAAGACTTTATAAAGTTTTTTAGGAGCAAAAAGTAAATACAGCCTTGCTCACCAGTGAAGATGCATACTTCATATACTTGTGATTTTTCAATGCTCTTATAATTTTAATTAATAAAACCAAAAATAAATTTTATTATTCCTAAGCCTAGATGCTTTTATACACTCAGTATTTTTAGTATTATTATATATTAAACATTTTTTTACTTGTGTAAAAACTCTTAATTCTGTTGACTCTTAATGGTGATAATTTGATAACTCCCAAATTCTCCTTTAAAATATGCCAAATAAAATAGAACAAATATCCTTTTAAATGGAGAGCTGAACTCAGAACAAAGTTAGAGAACTCTCCAGGAGTCATAAATAAAGGACCAGGGAAGACTGGATGAAAGACTTTGAAGGTGGAATTGAGACTGCCATGTGTACTTGGATGTTTAAAGAGATAGTATATTAGTAAAATGGGGCCTAGAGAAAAGCCCACTCATCAGCACAGAAAGATAACAGGAAACTTATCTGTTTTATATTATGCTCTAGGTACAGGTTTTTCTTTTGATGGATACATGGAATACTTATAAAAAATTACCATACGTGGAATACTTATAAAAAATTACCACATAGTAGGTCACAAAGGAAGCCCGCAGAATTTTAAAGAATTAATATCCTACAACCACCCTCTTTGATCAAAGCATAGTAAATTAGAAATCAGAAGTAAAAAGTAACTTCTTCTTTACCACACCCACTCTCTCCTTTTGTGAGCTCCCTGCCATCCCTTCCAGCTCCCTTTCCTTTGGAAATGAAAAAATAATAAATTAAGAAAAATTGACAATTCTGGATAACTGAAGGCTAAACAAAGAAGTAACAACGGAAGTCAGAAAATAAGTAGAAATAATTGATACAAAAAGACAGTATATATTTATTTCATAA